TGGGCATCGGGGGCGCCGAGGACAGCGCCACCGCGGAGGAGTGCTCTCGACTCCCCCCCTTCGCCGCATGCGGCCAGCGATGCACCCGGCCTTGAAGAGTCCCCGGGGAGAGGACCCCGCAGAGAGCGGGCAGGCAGCGAGGCGAGAGCACCTCTGGCCAACCCGTGGGGAGGGAGCCAAGGCGCACCAGTGGCAAAGACACCTCCAAGCCCACAGCGGCACGTCGAAGGGAGCGGCCCTCAGCGGCGCGAGAGCGTCATTCTGGGCGTGGAGTGTGGGCGGTGCTGGGGCGAAATCACCAGTGCGTTGAGTCTGGGGCAGTGGGGGAGAGGCGAACAAGGCAGGGGCGACCGCCCCTTTGGGGGGGGGAATTGGCAGCGCTCTGCTTTGCAGCAGCGACGCCGCGAGGTCCGATGTTCGAGGGGGAGAAGATGGGTAAAGAGGAAGCGGCAATAACCAACGTGTGGTGAACATCCATACGTACGCGGATGGGCTCCACAGCCTGTTTTCACGCACACACACATACACACACACGCAACATGTGCTACCATCGGAACCCCTAGCAGGTCTCAAGCTGCCAGTGCTGCCCGTGCCTGCATCGGGGGTGCCAGGGAACTGCGCGGCACCCTCACAAACATCGCGTGCTCGAGCAGCTGTCAACACGCTGCTCGGGCAGGAGTTTTGGCGTCGCGGCGTATGTCAAGTCGGGCGGGAGCGCAGGGGCCAGGCCAGCTCACGCAGCACGAGCAAGCTGGATTCACCCACAGGTGGTCGACAACAACACTCGCGAGGGGGTAGTCCCGAAGGGAGACAGGTCGCATGGAGAGAGATCAGCCGACCCCGTCGGCGTGTGTGAAAGGATGACGGCCCCCTCCACAAATTTCAATGTTCACATCTATTCCCTGCCGCCCCCTGTGGCCACTTTACGGCCCCTCCCCCTCCTCCTCGGGCACGTGAACCTACCAGGTGAAATCGAGCAATGCCGTCGTCGTCGAGTCGAGAGGAAATGGGGGCACCTTACTTCAGGTCCCCCTCCCGCCAGGAGCGGAAAGGGACGGGAATGCAAGGGGGGGATACGGGAGGGGGGTCCTGGGGGGGAGCAGCCCCCCCGCCACCTGGGATAAGCCTTCCCTTTCCATTTCGGGCAATCACCGTCTGGTCAAATTGGTTGTTGTTTGCCCCCCCCCAGTGCTAAGCAAGGTTCGCGTTGTCTCCCGACCAAGCATCTCCTCCCGTCCAGCCACCTGTTCTTCTCCCGCTTCTCGTCCTTTTCGCGCTCGTCCGCATACGCACATCATACACACAATATAACCGTGAGCACGCACGCACGCACACACACACACACACACACACGCACACACACATACATTCAACGCACTCTATTCCCAAGGCGTATGCAGCAGGCCGCATACAACATACACATACAAAAAGCATGCATGCTTCGGGTCGGTCGTCCAAGGATGAGCACGCATGGCGCGTTCTCGATACCGGAGGGGGGGGGCGCAAATGTGGTCCCTCACCGCAGTCTCTAGTCACTATACGCGCCAAACGCGCAAATGACTGGGCCTAGCAGGCGTGACAGTTTCTCGACAGCATGGGGGGTGAGCAGGGGGTGGCCCCTCACTGCGGACTCTATACGCGCCAATGTCGCAGGGCCAAGCAGGCGTGACAGTTTCTCGACACCCGAAGGGGTGCGCAAGTGGTGGTCCCTTTGGCGCGGTCTCTAGACGCGCCAATGCCGCAGGGCCCAGCACGCGTGGAACTTTCTCGACACCCGAAGGGGGTGCGCAGGGGGTGGTCGGTGCGCCAGGCGTGGCTGCCGTGGCCGTCGCGCGCCCGCAAACAGTGGACCTCATGTCGAGGAGCTGCGCGCTGCCGCGCCATCACCAACAAAAACGCAGTGCAATAATGGGTACAGTAGGGGCGCTGACCTAGGGAACCCTCAACGAGGGCCCCTTTTCCTCATTAGTTCAGCTTCGATTCCCCATCGAAAGCCACAGGAAAGCCCAAGGCAAACTGTAAAACAGCGAACGAACACGGAGTCCCTCCCCAACGAAAAGGGTTCCTTCGTCAGTGCCCCGACTGTATGACCAGGACGGAAACATAAGGAACACAATGGAAAAGGGAGGCGCGGAGGTTGGAGGAGGTTCACACAATGCTGCGCTACAAGCGTTGAGATCTTGCGTAGAAGATGTCCAGGTGACTGACACTATGTTTGACCGCGCGGGGCAGCAAAATGCCACACGGGGCACGAACACACTTTTTTGGTCGGCGGGTCGAGAGCGGGCCTCTTCCGGTTAAGAGCTAGGCGGGGCGCGCGAAGCACTTATTGGGGAGACAGGGCGCGGGCGGGCGGGGCCTCAGGCGGCCGGAGGGAGCGGAGTACAGGCGGTGCCGAAGAGTTTGCACAGGAAAGGTACGCCTTGGACAGGAGCCGGGGGCGAAGTCCCGGAGGGAGAGCGAAGTGGTGTTGCCGTCAACGGCGCGCCAGGGTCACCATCCTCGAGTGCTGCGTGGGGAGGGCACGGGGCACGAACACACACGACATTACATAAGCATGTGGGGGTTCCAGGTAGCGCAATCTGCCACTGACGTCTAAGACGGATCAAGATGGCCACAACATCCTCCAAGATGGCACAAGAGGAGGTCCCAAAGAGGGCCCCTCGACGGCAGAAGAGGGCCCCTAGAAGGTCCAGGAAGCCCCCAAACTTGCCCACGAGTGTCACACGAGGGGCCCAAGAGGGGGAACACACGTTGATAGTTCGAGCCCTCCGCCCCAAAACGGCCCCCGAGACCACCAGCAGGCCCCCAAGAGGCCCCCGGCTGCCCCCAAGAATCCCCCAAGATGCCCGGAAGACGTTCTCAGCAGGCCCGAAGAGGCCCCCCCAAAGAGCCCCCGAGAGGCACCCCAGAATACCCCTGAATGCATTCAAGAGGCTCTGCCCCACGACCCGGGCTCGGTGGAGGGATTGGCCGAAGGCCAACAGACAGAGGCGGCACCGTGTTCTGCCTCCTCTCCAGCCCCGAGGTGGTTTGCACACCGTCCTGAGCTAGTCGTCGGCCCGCCGACGTGCGCTCCTCGGCTCCCTCGCGGCCTTGCTGGCTCTTCCTGGCCCCCCCCCGGTCAGGGTCGGCGGGGCCCGCTGCAAAGCCTCTCCAACGCCCTGGCCCGATCTCCCGTCGGCGATGTGCAAGCAAACACTTCGCTGCGGCAGACCTGTCCGCGACAGCCTTAGAGTGACTGCCAATGACGGTGCACTGCGTGTCTAGTGACCTTTTCGGCTGCGCAGGTGCGCACATTATCTAGCGCAGTCCCATGTAGAGCCCAACAACACCTTACAGACTAGCTACCAAGGCCCCCGACCACCGTTCATGGTCGCCACTACGTAGAAGCCGTGCGGGCTCTGGTATCTTCGGGCACGCCTGGGCGCTCCGATGAAGACTTAAAGTACACTGTGCGAACTCTACAGGCGGTGCTGGTCGTTGCCAGGCGAGCCGTAAAAAAACAACGGCCGTTCGACGGCCGCTGCAAAGAACGCAATGTAGATTGGAATGAATTGGCGCCCGAAGACGGTGGAGGGCTGGTGGACTCGTGTACCACTTTGTATACATGGAATCGTGCGATCCTTTATCCTCTTCCTCTCCCTCTCCCTCCACCCCTCGCTCATCCACCCTCTTGCTGCCTCCGCTGCCCCCCTTCTCATGCTGATTATCCGCGTCCATCCCTCCTCCCTCCACTCTCCTTCTCCCTCCCCTGTTCCCTCACCTCGTCCTTCCGCCCGTCTCCCTGCCTCCCAATCCTCCCCAAGCTTCCCTCTTCGCCTCCTCTGTCCACCCTGCCTCTCCCCCTTCCCTCGATCCATGCCTCTTCTCCCCGAAGAGGGGCAGGAGGAACACATCAATGTTCCAGCCTCACGCGGTCTGGTACTGACGGATGCGCTTGTACGCGCCCGCCTCGCAAGCTGCGGCCAGGAGTGAAGGAGGAGGAGGAGAAGAAGAACATGAAGAACCATAATGATAATAATCAGAAAAATAAGGGCAAGAAACTCCCCTTCCTGTTCCTCCTCCTCTTCTTCCATCCCTTTCCTTATACATAGCTCCTCCCTGCCGCACCCCCAGGCGTGTCCGTAGAGCGGGCCCAGCGTTTCGCCCGAGACCCCCGCACGATTCATAGTGGTCCTGCAACACAAAATCTGCAGCGGTCTCACGGATGGCGGGCTGGCGGCTTTCAAAATAAAATACGACTCGTCTCAGCACTGCTCGGGGTCGCTGTCAACAGGTGGTTCTCGCCGTAGCGCCGCGCACATGTGTGCAACAAGCTCGCAGCAGTGTCACGGATGCAGGGCGGCTCAGGTCAACATGTGGCCCTCGCCCGAGCGCCACGACGACTCGTATCTAAACCTTTGCAGCAGGTTGACTGGATCGAGCGCTCGACATCCCAGGCATGGTGTTCTGGCACGATTTAGAGCTGCCAGGACGCAGCAGTCACGTGGATTTGCTGTCTTTGAGTCACAGGGGTGGTGTTCTGGTACGATTTAGGATTGACAGGACGCAACAGTCACTTTGATTCGAGGCGCTGGAGTCCTAGGAAATGCATTTTGGCATGAAAAGGGAACATCAAGCGAGTATCCTCCAATGGGGCACTTCACGGAATGACAGTACATTTTTGCAGGCACCCATGAAGAGAGAATTCGGAGGGAGGGTTCATTGCAACATCGTTGGTGCGTCTTGGGGTTGCACTTGGCCTCCTTCTCCTCCTCCTCCTCCTCCTCCTCCTCCTCCTCCTCCTCACCCCTTCGCCTTCCCCTCCCCTCTCCTCGTCGCCTCACCCACCTCTCCTCCATCGCGCTCCCCGCCCCCCCCCCCCCACCCCTCCCTCTCCCTTCCCGCCCCCCCCGCCCCTTCCCGCCCGCGCGCCCCCCCCCCCCCCCGGGGGGAGGCGCGACCAGCCCCGGACGCGTCCAAGTCCCGCTGGCGCCCCCCCCCCCGGGCGGGTCCGCCTGAGGCTCGTCGGAGCCCTTCCGGGAGTCGGCCAGCCTCTTGAGTACCAGGACCTCGGGTGAGGAGTGGGGAGACTAGTCGGGACGAGGATCGGATCGGGCGAAAGGGGGGGATAGCAAAGGGGGGGTTTGAGAATCAGCTCACGTAGCTGATTTTCCCGGCGCCTCCCGGCGCCGGGAGGCGCCCATGTATCGAGGACTGGGCCCCTCGGTGAGGCCGAAACCAGCTGCATGCAGCAAATTTCGTAACCCCCCCTTTCCTAATCCCCCCCTTTCGCCCAGCCCGAGAGGACGGGAAGGAGGAAGCTGGGGGAGGAGGGCGAGGGAGAGGGGCAAGCTTGGGACGCCAGTGACGACGAGGAAGGCCTCGGATCGAGAAAAAGGGGCCCGCGCTGCGGTGAGACAGCCATAGGGCAACGACGGGAACAGCTCCCCGGTCCTAACGGGAGGCCCACGCGTGCTGCGGGAGCGCCGGCTTGGAAGGGCCGAGCACCTTCCACATTGGTAACCCCCATGAGAAAACAGCTTGGCCCCCCCTCTACGCTTTTCTTTTAAAAAATACGCGGAAGGGGGGTTGCGCCATTATCGGGCCATCTTCGAGGGAGACACGCGAGTAGAGTTTTGGATGCTCGTTCTGGGCACCTTCCTGGAGCCACTCGCTCCACTCGTGCGTCGAAGCTGCGTCGAACGTCAGTCGATTTGGGTCGACCCTGAGTCGAACCTGAGTCGAACCTGAGTCGAACCTGAGTCGAACTTGAGTCGAACTTGAGTCGAACTTGAGTCGAACTGGGGTCGAACAGATCCGTTAGGTGGGCTCCAGGAAGGTCCCCGAAACGAGCATCGAAAGAGTTTAGCATTCGTATGGAATAACTGTGGAGGCGCGCCCGCGGGCGCCAGCAAAGCCGAAGAGAGCCTCGACCTGGCGCGGCGTGCAGGAGCACAGGCAGCACGCGAGAGGCAACTCCTGTCGCCCTCTTTGCGTAACTTGCCGTCGCTCGGACGTCCATGTCCCGTGCATGTTTCGGTATCGTGCGTGTTTGTTTTGCTCGATGGTCCAGGATGGTCCTCGATGATTCTCGCCGAGAAAAAATGCACACGTCCGAGCGATGCCAAGGTAAGTGGTTTAGTGAGTTCGTGCCAGACTCCGTTCTTCCCCTTCAGCACCTCCCCCGTACCCCTTCCCCCGGGTATGGAAGGGGCTCTCGAGGGAAGACGGCGTCCAAGATGGCCCCAGCTTGCCCAAGACGGCCGCCAACTCGCGGCCAAGAGGCTCCAAGCACGCCCCAAGACGGCTCCAAATGGCCACGGAGCCTCCCAAGGACGCACTGAGGATGCCCGAAACCCTCAAAAACCTGAATAACACACGTCAGCGCTACCTTCTCGCCGCTTGACTCCCACTGAACTCAGGAGGGCTCAAGGTGGCCCCAATATGACCCAAGCAAGCCCCTGGCGGGGCCAAGACCCCCAATAACGCCCAAGAGCGCCCCAATAGGGCTCCGAAAGGCATTTGAAGGTTTCGACGGAGGGTGGGGGCTAATCGAGGGCACTCCTTTGGGAGTCATAGCCTGCATGGTGGCCCCAAGCGGGGCCCCAACAGAGCCTCAATAACCCCGAGGGCTCCCCCAAAGACACCAAGAGAACCTCACAACGAAACCAATAGGCGTCCAAAAGGGCTGCCAGGACGACAAACCCGCGACAAACTGTACAACTGACTTCTGTCGTAGTCGTTGCCGTGACGAGTTCTGAACCAGCCTCTTCTTCGACGTCCTCCTCTCGCCCCCTCCTCATCCCCCAAATTCCTCACACTCCTCGTCCTCCACCAGTGTTCCTTCTCAGCATTCTCATGTGTTCCATGTCTCCCACCTGTGGTTCAGCTGCAGCTGAGTGGAAGGATACTGCTTATTACCAGCAGTAGAACATCCGCCTTGGATTACCTGGAATTGTAAATTTACACACATGTTGTTTAAGTATGGTGACGGTCGTTTCCCCACAATTGTTCACGCTTGGGCGGGTGGGGAATGTCGGGGCGGGGGTGCGCTGCCATCGCCATCGTACTTGCGCGAGCACCAGCAAGCGGGGGGGTGTCCAAGCCGCCCACCTATGTATGACCGCTACGCGCAATATACTATCAATAACAACCATCACAGGCGTGTTCCGTATAATTCAGATTCCTCCTGCTCGCCCTCCTCCTCTTCTTCCTCCTCCGCCTCTTCCTCCTCCTCCTGCTCCCCCCCCCGTTCCAGCCTCCTCCACCTCTTCCTCCTCCTCCTCCCTCTCCTCCGCCTCCTCGCCCTCCTGCCTCCACGCTCCTACCTCTCCCCTTCATCACCTTCACTCAAGGAAATCCACGAGTGCCTCCTCATCCACCCTCGTCCCTCTTCCTCCTGGGCTGTGTTCTGCTGCGCTTCCCTGCTGAGGGCATCTCGCCTGGTCGCCTGGGGAGTGTTTCTGGACGGGCTAGTGCGGACACGCGAATCTTCAATAATTTCATCTCGTCCGCCCTCCGAATGGCGAGAATGGCAACGGAGGGGAGAAACATAACAGGCTTGCTGAGTGCCACGACCTTGGCCAGGATGTGTTTTCTCCATGCGGGAATGAGGATGAAGAACACCACGCTTGTGAACACGAGCTTCATGCCCGTCGGGTGGTCCTCCCTCCAATATCATCCCTTCTCCTCTTCCTCCTCCTTTTCCTCCTCCTCCTCCTCCTACTCCTTGATCCCCTTGTCTAGCTCCACAGGAAGCACCCCCGTAAAGCCCCCTCGAACGCCTCTGAGGCTCTCCTCCTCTTCTTCCTCCTCCTCCCTCCTCCCTAAATCTTCTCCTCCTCTTCTTCCTTGCCCTCCTCCTCAAACTCTCCAGCGCCGCCCTCTAGAGCCCCTTCGAGCCGCCCAAAAGCTCTGGAGCCCTCCTTCTCCTCCCTTATCCTCTTTCTCCTGCTGCTGCTGCTGCTTCTGCTCCTTCGCCTCCTCTCTAATCCTCCTCCGCCTCCTCCCCCTCCCTCCCTCCCTCCCTCCCTCCCTCTCTCTCTCCCTCCCTCCCTCCCTCTCCTCCCCCTCCCTTCCCTCCCTCCCTTTCCCTCCCTCCCCCCTCTCTCTAGATCCTCCTCCCCCTTTCCTTTCCCCTCCCTCCGTCTCCCATGTCTCGCCTTCCGCCCTCCCGCTTCCTCTCTTCCCCCCCCCTCCCTCCTTCCCTTTCCCCTCCTCCTCCTCCTCCCCCCTTCTCCTCCTCCTCCATCCTCCTCCTACTCCCTTCTCCTCCCTCCTCATCTCCTCCTCCTCCTCCTCCTCCTCTCCTCCTCCTCCTCCTCCCCTTCCATCCTCCTCCTCCTCCTCCCTCCTCCTCCTCCTCCTCCTCCTCCTCCTCCTCCCCCTCCTCCTCGTCCTCCTCGTCCTCCTCCTCCTCCTCCTCCTCCTCCTCCTCCTCCTCCACTCGCCGCCAGGAGCTCCGTGAGGCTCGAGAGGGAGGCCAAGCCGAAGTCGATGCAGTGCTCCCAGGAGAACCCCACCAGGATACTGATGGCGAGCACGAAGCTCCGGCTCGGGGCCGGGAGCCGCGGCCCCTCACGAACCGAGGCGGCCCGCCCCGTGCTGCACCAGACTCGGAGGAGGAAAATGTACCCATACCGCTACCCTTCGCCCGATTTACCTGTGTGGGCCTTCTGGGCGGTCCTCGTCGCCACCGCTGTATTCGCCTCTAAATCCTGGTCAGAACGCACCCCGGGAGAGGTCTGGGGAGTAGCGGTATCGGTACCCTGTAGTTTCCCCATGGATGGGCCACCCTCGCCGCCCCTACGGTCAGGAACCTGTGCTTGGCGTCTCGCGGCGGCCCCCGCGACACGCGATGCCCTGCGAGCGGATGGCGCGTCGCTGCGCTCCGCGGGGCAGGGGGCTCGGGAAGGCTCGGGACGCTGCCGCCTGGGGACCGGGGCGTGGTCAGCGTGCCGCCGTGCCGCGCTGGAGCGCGGCGGGCCAGAAGCGGCGGCGCGGGACACGCCCAGCCAGATGGATCCTGACCGTACCTCCCCCCCTACCCCAGACGTGGGCCCCCCGCCGGTGCGGTGGCCACGCCGCGTGGGGAGCTGTGGGTGCTCGGGGTGGCCACGCGGTTCTGTGGCTCGGGCCGCTCTCTCCGAGGACGGCCCGGCGACGGGTCGTGCGGTGAGGTCTGCGGGGGTCTCCGAGGTCACCGCGCGGTCTGTCATCGCGCGGTCTGCAGCTGCACCAGTTCGGGACCGACCGACAGAGATCCTGTGCACGCCTCACAGATCTTCCGGCGGTGATGGGTCCTCGCTTGGAAGCGACAGCGCCCCGCGTCTCCTCCTCCCCTCTCCCCCTTTTCCCATCCTGGCCCCTGCCCTCCGCACGCTCCGGCACGCACCTCCGCAGAAGCCCCCCGGGAGGGGTGTGCATGCGGCACTCCCCTCGCATATTTCGTGGCCCCGCAGAGAACTCCCAGAAATCCGCAGCAAAGGGGGCTTGCATGCGGTTCACCCACCCATGTCGGCACACCCCATCACACGTTTCGTAGCTCCACCCGGAGCTCCAGCGAAGGCTCCAGCGGCAGGGCCCGCATGTTTCCCCAGGCTCATGTTGGTACGCCCCTTACACGCGTCGTGGCCCCGTTCGGAACTCCACTGGAGGCCCCACTGGCAGGGCCCGCATGCGCCCCCAGGCATGTGTCGGCACACCCATCCCACGTTTCGAGGCCCCACAAAGAGCTCCATTGAATGCGCTACGCAAGCCAGGCACTCACAACTGCACACAAGTGGGGTTTGTCGCCAACATCTGTTTGAATACGTGGGGGCCCCCCGGGGCTCGCTGTGCACCCCGAGTTGTTTTTGATGGTCCGCGGCTGGCGAGAATCCCCTGAGGCCGGAACCAAGGAAGAATCTCCGCATCCAATACTTCAAATTGTGCGCTGCAGGACTGGTCCCCTCCCCTCCCCCCCCCTCGTCCCACTGTCCCTGTGTGCCCCCGCGAAAGGCCTCCCGTGGGCTTCTCCCGAGGCCCGAGGCTTCGCGAAGGCCTCTGGTGGTCCACCCGCCAGCCTGGAGGCCCCTGGAGGAAGCCCCAGGAGGACAAGCCCATAAACGCAACAACAATCTGGATCCTGTGTGGATCCTCTTGGTTCTCCCTGCCTCTCTCTCCTCTCCACTCCCCCCTCCTCTCCCTGCTCCTTCCCTCCCCTCCTTCCCCTCTCCCTCCTCACCTCTCCTCCCCTCCCCCCAGTCTCGGCTCAAGAGCTGTGTTCGGGGCAAGCCCAAACGCCAAGCGCCCCGCATCCATTCTTGCGAATCCGAGGCCGTGACAGATTGGCGTTGCATCCACTTCAGTACGCGCGTTCGCGCCATGGTTCCGAAAGGTCTTCGCCGTGCGTTCCCTGTACCACGGCAGCTTAAGCCACCAGGCAAGAGGCACCAAAAAGCTACCTTTCCCGAAAATAAGCTCGTTTGGAAGAAAGCCTGCGTCGCTGCATTCCACAACGGCGGCGGCTTCGACGGAGCAGTCGCCGCATCCAACGAACTTGCTCACAAGCATCCCACCGACCTTGATACCACTTGACAGCAACACCGCTCCGACCCACGCAAGCCCTGGGGCGAGCTGGTGAGCCTGCGCGGGAAGAATCACATCAACTACGCCATGCAACATTGCTCTCTGACGCGCACAAGAGCCTCAGACAGCGACCCAGCGCCAGCAAGGACCACGGTCGACGCCGAAGCCCAAAAGGGCAGCGGCATCGACCCTCTCACCAGCCTCGATGAACACAACTGGGACGCCCCCGTGAACCTGGAGAAGGTGGGCGAAGGGACGCCGTACAACAATAGCATCTCACTGCACACGCTGAGGAAGGCGACCGCCTACTACAACAAATCCGCGCTCAGGACAGACCTCGATTGCTCGCAGTGCCGGGGCCCGTTAGCACGGCCGACCCCGGCAACTCGAGCCCAATCCCAGTGCTCCGTTGCGCGGCCAAGGCTGTTATTGAAGGGGCCCCAGGACACACACATAAATACACACAAATAAAAAGATTCCCAATATTTTCCTATATTTTCTGGGTTTTTGTCTTCCCCCCCACTTCCAAATTTTCCCATATTTTCTGGGAATCGACGATTTAAGTGTGTCTGTGTTTTTTCCCTCCTGAGTTATGCCCGCGCCAGGACACGTCCAAGGGACCATCTACCAACTAGGACGGGAGGAGGTCAAGTGCCTCCAAGACGTCGTCCAAATTACCCTCGAGCCTGCTGATCGCGTCGTCTGGTTCCGCTCCGCCATCTGTGAGGCCGACGCCTTTGCGGTCACGCCTGCGCTCGAGGAGCTGGTCGCGGCACAGTTCTCATAAGCTGCACCCATCAACTGCAACTGCGATCCAGGCGGACCAGGCACGGCACGGCAAAAGGCAGAAGAACGCCACAACTCAACCCAGAAAGACGTCTCACACAAACCGGTGGACGACGACCTCACCGACGCGCGCGCCGCGGCATTCACGTCCTACCACCGTGCCGCGCAAGTACAAGAGGGCACGGAGCTCCTAGGGCGCCACGGCGCACTTGTAGGGAAACGCAGGCTCACGGCGACGTTCGGGACTCAGCCAGCCGATGTCCCTCTGATTCTCTCCACCCCTGGGCGAGGAGGCATCGCGTTCGACCTGGGCTATCGCGGCTCAACAGGGCCCTCGCGTGGTGCCCGGATGGTCACCATGCTATGCTCAAAGTCGCGTGCACCACCTCCACCACGCACAAGGGTTTGGCACTGTCCGTGGATGTAAAAGAACGGGCATCAGACTCAACGCAAACACCCAAGGGCAAAACACGTCGCCCTGGAACTCCGCTGGGACAAACGCTGCTGTCGCCCACGCAGGGTGCTGCCGGGCGGTGAATCACAGAGCGCCATTACGATGCACGTCTCAAAGGTCTTCGCGTCCACCCTCTTGCGCTGCGAATTCCAGCGTGCGCAGGTTGGGTCAGATCGACCACGGGTGATTTCACCATCGTCCATGCGGACAGCCCCCCTCCGAACGCGACGGTCCACGCCCGCGGGCCAGCCATCCCATGGCAACTCTTTAAGATGGAGGCGCACGGCCCCGCCGCGACCGTTTCACCGTAGACAATCGCGACGGTCGATCGAAGGAAGCGGTCGCCGGTGAGTAGACGTGTGGGGCGGCGGCCCGCGTCGGTCAGACTGCGACGCGTAGGGCGGCGCCGACTTCCTATCTTCTTCCGCCAACGGGCAGCGCGCGGCAACGGGCAGCAATGTTGTACCTGACGAGGGGTGGCGATCACAACCTGGCGTCCAAGGCATCTCTGACCACTCGGACGCGAGGCTCCGTGGGCTCGACGCTGACTGGCACCAACTCGCGGGCAGAATCATGCGCCTGGAAGCAACCGTAACCAGCGCGGCCTCCAGGCAGACCGCTCCAGCGCGCCAGTGCCGCGAACTCCAACCAGAGATCCGCGTGGCCCAATCTGAGCAGACCAGCCAGAACGCAGACCTGGGGACCCCCATCAATCCGATGGCGCCTTTCCTCTCGCTGGCCCAGGCCCACGCGGCGCAGGCCGCTCAGAGCCCGCCAAAAGCCGCGCCGCCCCCCTAAGGATTCACCAGCGAGGCCTGGAACCAAGGAGGTTACATGAGGAAGCGAGGGAGCGACTGCGC